TAATTAGGTACATCGTTAATCTATAAATATCTCGGAGCGCTGTAGCGATGTGATGAACATGCGGTCTGCGATGCACTTATACATTTTTTACTTTTTTTTTCGTAAAGTGGTAAAGCTGAATTTTTTAGATAGTCTATGGTAATCTAATTTCATCATCATCATCAGCTCACTATACGTCCCCACCGAGGGGCTCGGAGCCTACCCTAAGTTAAGGGTGATTAGGCCATAGTCAACCACGCTGGCCAAGTGCGGGTTGGTTGACTTCACACATATCTTTGAATTTCTTCTCAGATATGTGCAGGTTGCATCACGATGTTTTCCTTCACCGTAAGAACGTCGGATAAATGTACATATGTAAATCGAAAATCGAAAAACACATTGGTACATGGCGGGATTCGAACCCAGGACCTGCAGATTGCAAGTCAAGTGCTTGACCACTGAGCCACCGACGCTCCGAATCTAATTTACAAGTCGACAACTGTGTTATTATATAATATAATATATACCTATACAAGTATTTATATCGAGTTTGAATTACAGTACAGTGGTCATTAAGGGATACTCATTAACTTAAGATGAGAAATATACACTTAGCAACTATTTAATTAACATTTAAAAGACTCTGAAAGGAAAATCATACAGTCCTCGTATGATTTTATGGAACGAATTGAACTATATCTACATTTTATTTTAAATACTAGTATTATAGTTGCCTGCGACTCCGTCCGCACAGTATAAAAATACTTAATAAGTAGCCTATATTCTTCCAGACTATGTTCTACATCTATGCCAATTTTTATTGAAATCCATGCAGCGGTTCTGGAGATACCTACAAATAAACTTCCATCCATTCAAACATTCGCATTTATAATATTAGTAAGATTAATACGATTAGAGAAAGTAAAGTAGGGTTGAATTAAATAGATATGTTTTATGAAAACCACAATTTAATTAATTTATTATTGTATCTGGCGAGTATTTCTGCTGATTGCGGGAAGTTCAAGTATACATTTTACTTTGAGTTAAAGTTGCCGTCTGTCATTAGCAGCTTTCTTCATTTCCTAGATTCAAAGGAGAGTGTAATAAATATTGTAACTTTGATGTAAATAACTAAACGAAATACCTTTTGAAGCGACATCTTCAAAGACTTTATAAATATAGATAGAAATTTTTACGATAAGGAATTTACATGTGCACGGAAAATTAAAGGCAGAGTGTCATAGGTATTTTGGCACAAAACACATACAGAGGATAAGAGATGAAATTCTAAAATGATAGTAAAATAACGAGTTCAAATCTACCTCAATTTTTTTTTCTTAAATCTTTTTTTTTTCATGTTCAAGTATAAATTCAAATAAGAAAAAAAATTAATATATTTGTTTAAAAACGCAGACAATAGATGGCGCTATTTCATCTTTAAAAGCCTGATTCTGTCAGGTTTTGTTTTTGTGTTTTTTTTTTAACAATGAAAGTCACGTTATGACATTGTTTTTGGTTGACTTGCAAACATGTTTGAATTTAATTACAGTACTTTCGCTGTAAATATTATAGTTTAGATACGTGCGTGTTGGCATAAAATCCTAAGTGCAAATAATAACAATGCAAGTAAAAGGTAGTATATACCGAGATTGTGTGTAATCAATCGAGATTCCACACAAATGATGGGTAATAGTGCGGTACGTGGCGTGGTACCGTTTCATACACTTTATTGGAGCGTGCTTCACAAGATCGATAGTCTATTGTCTATAAGGAATAATATAAATATCTTTTGTTGTATTACGAAAATTATAATTTAAATATTTTCATTATAGCTTTTTCATTGACAATTTTACCTCTAAGTTTACTTACGCTTCATTTATTCAAGAGAAGTTGAACTTTGCAAGACCTAGACCACGCAATGACTTTCGTCTTTGTTACACTAGCTGCCGCCCGCGACTACGTCCGCGCGGAATTAAAGAAAAAACAAGATAGTAAACCTTTGTGTTCTTCTGGACTATGTTCTTCATCAGTGCCAATTATCATCAAGTTCCGTTAAGCCGTTCCGGAGATACCTTCAAACAAACATACATCCATCTAAACATTTGCATTTGTAATATTAGTAACAGTGAGATATTTATTTTTAAATGTGAGTCATTGAATATGACGTAATAGAATTTTTTCTGTAGGAGAGAGTCTGGCCATAGACAATCATTTTATTGTGACAGCTATAGCTTATTTTATCTAATTGCTGTTTATTTTAGATCCAAAAAAAATGAAACCATCGCAATGTTTGATAAATATTCATACCGTACGACATTAATTCCATTCGTTAAAGTCACGAATGCTCATAATTTAGTGGAAAGCTACAAATGGGAACACATTTTCCACAGCGGGGTCGATAAAAATAAAATAATGAGATCGTCGGTAGTTGGTATAACATACAACAATCCAAGATTTATCCGTTTATATTTAGACTCGGCTTAGCGATGAGATGGCAATGTAGGGAGTTCTATCGTTATAAATAACTAAAACGTTGCTAATTTATAACTTATAACAAATGCTGGTAGCTAAATTAAAAACGTTATTTATTTTTGTTATTGATAAATTAAACTGATAATATATTTTGTTTTAATAAACTTTTTCTTTTATAAAATTTATAGTATTTTCCTTGAGTTCTTCCTTAAAGGAGACTATTTAAAATATTTATTGTATTTTTATTTAAGACTAGATGTCGCACGCGACTCCGTCCGGTATTAAAAATAAATGGTTCCTAAAGGGTTTTTCCGGCAATTATTTGAATTTTTTTCCTTTTAAAGCTTTCCTAGACTTTCACGAACATTTCAAGACCAAGATGAGATAAATCCGTTCAGCCGTTTTCAAGTTTTAGCGAGACTAACGAATAGCAAATGATTTTTATATTATACTAGCTGTCGCCCGCGACTCCGTCTGCGCGGGATTAAAAATAGATGTTGGCCGATTCTGAGACCTACTCAATATGCTCGCAAAATTTCATGAGAATCGGTCTAGCCGTTTCGGAGGAGTATGGGAACGAAAATTGTGACTCGAGAATTTTATATATAAGATAAGAGAGATAATGTTTTTTACTATTCATCAATAGATAGCGCTGTTAATTAGTTGAAAAACTGTCCAAAGAAACATTGGATGTAATAAATATACCGATAATGACTGTCGCCGGCGACTTAAAAACACAATTAGTAAGCCATAGTACTAAGCCAAGTTTGATCGAGATCCGCACAGCCGTTTTGGAAATACCTTCAAACAAACATCCATCTAAACATTTGCATTTATAATATTTGTAAGATTATGAAAAAAGTATTTTTTTTTATTTTAAAAAGAAAAAACGATTCTTTGTGTTGTAATAAAATAACTCAATAGAAGCAATTTTTATAACCTTACTATAAGCAATTTAAAATGTCAAAAGTGCACAACTCGATGCTGGCAACATAAAAGCGTATCGGGAAGAGAAAAAAAGAAAGCAAAACGTCGGATCCGTCGTGGAAATATTGCAAGACGGGCGTAGCAGGTGCGCGACTCCAATAAGAAAGCGAGGGAGAGTTTAGATATAAAGTTATGGTTATTGTCGTGTTATTGGTCGACGAGTTAAAGATGTTTAGTAAGGGATTTATTCGGGGTCTGTTTATTTTATTTTCTATGAGGCCAAATAGAATTGCGCCGGCTGTTATTAAATTTCTCCCATCCTCGGAAACGTAAGCAACGGCTCAGTCGTTGGGCTTACGTTTTTTTCTTTTGTAGTTTGTATAAACGGTTGGAATTGTTCAGTGAAACAAATTGAGGATTTTAGTGACAGTATTTCTTTTACTTTTTACTCACAATTTGTATTTACTCTTTTATTCTTTGACGCGAAAGTTGTTACTTCTGAATTTATTACCTTATTTATTCTTTGTCTATAGATTTCGAATTTCGAATTCACTCCAAGAAATATCCACATATCAAAATTATCAGACATTTAGTTGTACTAAAATAAATTCCACCTTCAACCGTTCCTGTGAAAAAGAGTCTTGACAGACAGATGAACGTTTTCTCCCTTTCGAGTAAATCGTAAATTGAATTTAGTAATTAATAAAAAAAATATGGAAAAAAATTTGGTGGTCCAAATAAGTTAAACCAAAAACTATTCTTTAAATTAGTACCAACATGATAGTTTGATATCTTTTTAGCAAAGTGTAGGACAAGTTACGTTGAAGTAACAAAACTCCTTCACATGTTCGTAATGCCTTAGAAGTTGCAGTTAATAAAGTTTAGTTCCCATATTTAAATTCTGAACACTTCTCTATTTCTGGCACTAAAATCCCTGTTTAAAAGATATTGTTGACATTGTTTACTCAAAGATAAAAGGCTTGACGATTTTCGAATGCTTACTTACTTAAAAAAAAATCTTAATTCTAATTTAATTTTCATAAAATTTAATACGTGTATTTATTTTAATTTCCAATCGATAACGAATTTATAAAATAACATTCTACCATTGTATATTTTATGAGAATCTCATGCATTACAATGATATTGAAATTATATTTTCAGTTCCGTTTCACGTCCGTGCGAGCGACGGAGCTTAAAAACCGTTGAATATGGATTAAAATACGTTGCAACGAGCACAGAATATGTGAGATCTATTCCTCTAGGATTTAAATTCTACGTATTAGTTCCCATTCAAAGCGCCTGTTCATTATTATACCTACGACTTTTTTTAAAAAACAAAAATGAAAAAAAAAAACGGTTATTGTTTATATGATGCCAGTATTATTTGTAATGGTTGCCGCATTTTTTTGCATAAAAAATAACAAATAAAGCTACAATAATAAATAAACGTAAGTTATTTGGCGTAAAGGATTGTTTAAACATTTGTTGCACCTTATTTAAAAAAAAACAAAAAAAAATATTGTATATTTTTTACTGTTGTCTTTTGCGTTATTTGTATATCAAATGAATGGATTTTTGAGTATTATCACTATTATAAATATTTTTTTCTTTGCCCACAGAAGCAGGTGGGTTCCGTACCATGGAACTCCGGATCACACCACGAGTCGTACAACGAGGAAGAAACGTCACAATGGCTTGCATACATCAAGTACACGACAGTGAAATATACTCTGTACAGTGGTACAGGGGTACACAGGAGTTCTATAGATACACCCCACTAGAATCTCCTACAACTAGAGTAACGCCCGTTAACGGGATTAAAGTTGATGTAAGTATATTAAGCAATTTAAATCTTATTATTCTCGATGACAGAGATACACAAAATATATTTATTATTATGTATAATATATTCGTATTTTTTGTGTTGAAGGAAATTTAAAGAAAGAAAATTATGTAAGAATTTTGTACCCTAAATATCTTTATATCCAAAATTCAAGACATTCATTATTCTGATTCTGGTTTATACAGTAATGTCACAAATATGAATGTCATAATCAAACCCATTATGCTATTCAGTCGGCCTACGACGAATAATTGTGACCATCGCAATCGTATCGTCATACTCAAATATGAGTAAAATTAGTGACATTTTTTGGTTTACTTTATGCCAGATAGGGGGCGCTGCACTTTTTATATGATGATACGATATAGTTTATCATAAATATTCGTTCTTCTCTCGCAGTTTCATATTCTTTAACAGTATAATACTTTCACTTTATAAATACACACAAACACACACTTATTTCTTAACTATGTATATTGTAAAGGAAAGGCACCGGTGTGTCACACAGTTAATGCTATGACAGGCTCCTACGCTCAACCTATGTCATTGTATAATATATTTTTCATAATAAATAAATAAAGCTAACATTAATTATATATTCAATAGAGACTTAACTCAAACGAAACACATGTGGTTTTACTACGTGTCTCGCCGAGTCTGAGCGGCAACTATAGCTGTGAAGTTATACAGAATGCTCACACCTTCCCACACTACACCGCCACTGCGAGGCTCGACGTCGTTGGTGAGTATAAGAAAATCTAAGCACTAACATATTTAAAACCTTAGGAAAGTTTAGAAATATATTCATGGATTTAAAATTTTGATCAAAAATCACTTTTATCAATATTCGGTGACTGTTCTATCCAGCTATAAATTTTACAGATATCTTCAACGGTAGAATCGGATAAGAAGAATATTTTAGGGTTTTCTTTTTCTGTAGTTAGTCATCAAATTATTGGATATGACTTCTTGACAAATAAAACGATAAAAAAACAAGCTTAACTACAACTTCTTGTAAAATTGTATTGACAAAAATATTTATAGATTCCATCGATTCGAGATTCTCAATATAAAAATTACATTAGCTTTGTAATGCAAAAATTTTACCGTTGAAATAAAAAGTTCAGCAAGGATTTTATTTATGACATTATTTTGCGTACGTAACCAATAACTTGGGGAATAACTGCTGAGTCTCGGCTAGATAAAAGTACTTACGGTTTGGGACTTTGCTATTCCGGGTTTTGTCTGTCCAGTAATGCCATTTTTACGGGACTTTGATTCAGATAAGCAACATTTGCAATTATATGATGTTTTGTCAGCAAAAATCCAAGCGAAGCCAACTTTAGTTCGTTTACTTTGCAGTGTGCGAGGATATCTTTACCTACGTTGTTTATTTTATATTCAGGATTTTGATGCAAAAGTTTAATAAGCCGCTTCAAGTGAAATGCAAAATTGTTATAGTTTTGACAAATTCAAAATCCAATTTACTTGCGAAGGAAATAATAAACTGAGGATTAATCGTCTTATCTAGACTAAACTGATATATAAACACGGCTAAACACTCACGTATATTCGTTCGGTGGCGGCACCGACTAGTTTCGAGCCCATCGGGGGCCCTTAATCAGGATGAGTGGTACTGGTATTATTTCGCGGACGCGGCCCGTCGCTCACTTAGAGTGAATCGTGTTTATATATCAGTTTAGTATAATGTCTCACTCTCTCACATTTGGAATCTCTATTTAATAAGTATATCTTAAACTTTTAATTACGTCTTTTCAGCCTTGACATTTATTTCTCTAAATAATTCTTTTCTTTTGTATATTAGTCTTCTAAGCTATTTAGTATATACCAATATCCAAAACGTAATTTAGAGACTCGTTGAAACCTCTATACGTCACAAAGCGTATCAAATAAAAGATATTCAATCGGTATAGAGTGGATCAATACAGTAAATGCTTACGTAAGTAAAAATAGGAACGATTTAAAACTTTTTCCTTGTATCAAGTCCAATCTAACCGTTTGTTGGCCTTAAACAGTTACTGCTAACAAAATGAAAGGGAGTAAAACAAAGGGAAATTCTTACGAACTAACTTCCTACGTGCGGAAATTTACCTTCCAGTTTGGTATGCTTTTAGTTTAGAAAGCTTTGTAAGAAGTTCACAGTCTCCGGAGTCAATTTACTCCTTAAGTTGTCAATCTAAAAGGGAATTAGGTATCTAATAGGGTGAGGCGTCCGACTCTATTATGCTTTATTGTACGTTTAGATATTTAAATTAAAAGTACATTACTGAATTATTTTTTACTAGCTGTCGCCCGTGACTCCGTCCGCGCAAATTAAAAAAACAACTTAATGAATAGCCTTTTTTTTTGGTATCGGTACCCTGCCTTTTGGGGGAAAGACAGGGTTATGTGAGATTCTTACTCACTAAGAACCCTCGGTGGACAACCCCAAGTGCGACTGCGAGAGTCCCGGGCTCTCCCAAGGAACTACTATTTTCTACATCTGTAACAAATTTCATTAAGATCCGATGAGCGGTTCTGGCGATACATTCAAACAAACATCTATCCATCTAAACATTAGCATTTATAATATTATATTAGTATGATTTGATTTGTTTATCTTTTTTTTAGACAGTTTTTAAAAAATAGACCAAATATCATGTAGGATTATCCAAGTAACTTATGCTCTTTTAGCTCGCAAAAAAACCACTAGCTGTCGCCCGCGACTCCGTCCTCGCGGGATTAAAAAATTAAGGTTCCTAAAGGGTTTTCCCGGGAACTATTCAAATTTTTATCACCTTTTAAACCTACCCTAGACCACGAACATTTCAAGAACAAGATAAAATAAACACGTTCAGCAGTTCCCGAGTTTTAGCGAGACTAACTAACAGCAATTGATTTATATATATATATATATCATAAAGCACAAGAGTGACATATGATATCTACACTTACACATACAAATATCTAAACTTTTAGTAGAAAGTCATTAAATTTTCATAGTATACCTAGAAGCGGGATATGACTAGTAGTTATGACATTTTCATTTCCCCGCTACCATATATCACGTTCTATCAGAAACCTAATCTATATATTGTACCATCATGTTACTTTAATCTTTCCAGTATAATACTAAATGCCTTTAGGGATTTAGAGCTTGGACGTTTCATAGTATCATTATTGTTGAATGCAAAGATAATCTTGCTGCTTTAAATTTATTTCTTATTACTTGCTTTAGAAATGAGAATATTGGAATTGTTTAGTAATTACAAAGCTGAATTCAATTTATATATGTTTAAAGTCCATAGCAATACATTCTTTGTATAATTTTAAACATCTCGTAATGAAATTTAAACTGATAGATGTCAAATATCTCTCATGATCTATTAAATTAACCTTCCTGTAGTTTAGTAACGGCACTTAATGCACGGCACATGGATCTCGCTTAAATTTGGTACAGATGTAGAACATAGTCTGGAAGAACACATATTAAACTATTTAAGTTTTGTTATTCCGCGAAGACGGAGTCGCGGGCGATAATTAATTAGTTCATTAAATTGTCTTACGAAGACGTTGATATGTGAAATATTTGACTGATCAATCGTGGGTTCTATAGATTAAATTCTGTATCCAGGTATAGGTGGTCTTCGAGCAACAGAACTACGGATCTCTCCGCCTGTGGTGCAGCGCGGGTCGGACGCGACGCTCGCCTGTCTCTACGAGCTTACCGACGCCCCACTCTACTCCGTCAAGTGGTATAGAGGGCGCCACGAGTTCTACCGCTACTCGCCAACTGAACAACCCGCCACAAAGATATTCCCATTTGCTGGAATTAATGTTGATGTAAGTAAAAAGTTCACAGAATAGAATTGCAATCTATGTTTAACCTTGAAACTTTTTGTCCATAGTTTTAGACGTTATCAGTCACGATCCTATGGGGCGAATGGCGCTCACCAAGTCAAGTGTCAGACTGCTTAGTGAGGGGACATAAACGTAGACATTTTAATAAGGCTAGTGTTGCACCGATACATCGGCACAGTATCGAATTTTCTCCCTAACAATAGGGTGTAGACAAAAAGAGTTTTCCAATATCGCTATTACCAATTATTCTCCATCCAAAGACCAACACATACTCTTCGATGGTGTGTGGATTTTTGATATTATTTTTTTTTTACATTTCTAGTGCTTTGTCTAGTAACTGGCTTGTGCATTTTAAGGCCATAGCCTATGGCCTAATCACCCCTAACTTAGGGTAGGCTCCGAGCCCCTGATTGGGGACGTAAAGTGAGCTGATGATGATGATTATGTTAAGACTTAATATATTCCTGAGTTATATAATTTAAATCAAAACTGAATCATGACTTGGTGCTATTTGTATGCCGTATATTATGAATATGATTACTTCAGGTAACTAACGATGAAGTTAGTTCTACGTTCACCGTATTATGAACATATGAAGAGTTTGCTCGCTTTAAAGTTTTGAACACAAATATGACAAATTTTCTATCCGCTATCGATATGATATTTTACTTGTTTTTGGTATTTAAAAGTAATTTTATAAAATAATACGCAATTATAGTATAAATCCCTATATTTCTATATGTATTTTTAAATTAAATAAACATTAGAAAAGAGCAAATTTATTAGTTATTACGAACTAAATTCAATTTATTTGAAGAATAGCTTTAGAATATTCAGAAACAGATCAAAACATAAAACAGATTTCAAGGACTATTAATCATTGGATTATTATTAACAATATGAAGCGTTCTAAATTAATTAAATTTCTATCACAACCCTTTTCCCAATCCTTTGCCGTAAAATGTGAGACGAAGCGATTAGGTTTTGTAATAAACTGAAAAATAGATTTGAATGTAAGTATACAGTTTAAGAAAAATTAATCCTAATACCAAAGAATATAGGAAATCTTTTTACTTTCATAATAAGCAAATATACTTTTTATTAAACTGATATATAAACAAGGCTAAACACTCTCGTATATTCGTCCGGTGGCGGCACCGACTAATTCCGAGTCCATCGGGGGCCCTTCATCAGGGTGATTGGGACTGGTAATATTTCGCTGACGCGGCCCATCGCTCGAAACTAGTCGGTGCCACGACCGGATGAATATACGTGTGTTTAACCATATTTACATAAGTTTAATCTATCATCAGTTAAAGATAGAATCTAGAACATCATGTAGTCGTTCCCTTGTTTCTTACTGTTTCCCAAAACAAGTACTAATTGTGGGAAACAAGTTTGAGTAGCGATTCTCATCTAGTAAATCTTTTACTTCTAAATATACTTTAATAGTAAATTACGTCATCTTTAAATTATTTAGCAGTTGATTAATCCGCTTTATTTTATAATTCGAACAAGATCACAAAGCTCTTTCGCTTGAACGCCTCCAAACAATATTCAATAATACAATGTTATGCCCGTTTAGTTCCTTTGTTCCTGGGAATAGATTAGGCAATTAATTAATGATTTTTGTTGATTGAAATATTATTAACTATATAACTAAATCCTATTTAATACATCCAGTTTTGCCCTAACCTTGTCATTTATTTATTTTTCAGTCATGATATTTCTTCTATTGTACAGTCCTGGTAAAAAAATCTTCGTCAGTTTTCAAATTAATTTCTTTATCAAATCGTCGATATTTAATAACTTTTCCACTAATCAGACAATTACTTAAAATTGTACTTAATAAGTATGAAGATAAGGTTTAATGTTATGCAGCTTTTCATTTGTGCAAGAAAATATTGTGATTAAAAATGTTGTATAAAGACTGTTATTTTCTCTATTAATGACAATTTAATATCTAGCAGGTTAATTTATAAAATAGTCACTACTTAATGTACGTTCGAATATATACGTGTGCCTACACAATTGATAATTTAGCAAACAATCTTATTATAAAGAGTTATCGATCTTACTTTGCCCCTAAGATGGGACTAAACGTAAATTATGATTAATGGTAATGGGGCAATAAAGCACTTGACTGCTCTGTCTCCCTAAACATAATTTATGTTACGGTCCTTCACAAAGGTCTCCTAACATACTTTCTTAACATACAACTGACCTCTTGGTTAGTTACCGCTTGGTAACTTTAGCGTCGGTGGCTCAGTGGGTTAAGCACATTACTTGTAACCTTCAAGTCTTGGGTTTTACCAATGTGTTTTCAATTTATGTTTGTACATTTATCCGACGTTCTTACGGTGAAGGAAAACATCGTGATAAAACCTGCCCATATCTGAGAAGAAATTCAAATATATGTGTGAAATCCACAGACCCGCACTGGGTCAGCGTGGTTTAGTGTAGGCTCCCAGCCCCTCAGTAGGGACGTATAGTTAGTTGATGATGATGAACTGGAGGTCAGTAACCTTTGGATTTGATATATTACAGTACTTTGAATATATAAATGTGGACAGAGAGGTGAAATTCTAGTGTCAATGTGCTAAAATATATTCAACGTACTACTTGAATGTAACCCTTGACCTGAAATATCTTACATCGGCTGCAGTAGCGCGTTCGTTGAATAGCCACAGGCTCTTGGATCATGAGGACGTGTTGTCGTTATCCTTCTTTAACGGTATAGTGAATGTAAGGGACTGACATATAATAAAGTATGTGTGAATTTTGCAGTATTTATAGTGTGAAAATATCAAAGCGAAGTAAAGACACATTTTTTTCAAACTGAGCAACGTAAAGCATGTTTGTTTTATTTATGCTTGTATCTTTGAAATTAATCTAATGACACGGTTTGCTTTGAATGCCTAAGAAATAATAAATCATTAAGAAAGATTTTTAAATTTTAATGATAACATTAACATTTTGTTTTTAACAATAAACATTTGTTACAAAAAATATCTTTTCTGTTTTCTTGATAGCATTTAGTTGGTTATTTTTTAGGTAGCACTGCCATATTTCTCCGCAGTCTACGCGGCAGATGTTCATAAATCCAACTCCTTTATCAAGAATTCTTATTTCTCGCGATAATAACCTGATGGGTCATTTTCCAGCTACCGTCTTGTTTTTATTTTGTATTGTATTAGAGCTCAGCTTATACTGGTCGTATTAGACATTAATAACAGCGGTCGGTCTGAAAACGGACCGTAATCTATCGTGTTTTGCCTTTTTGCCTTCGAATGTGATAAGCCTAGAGAAAATTGTATGACGCTTAATGAAAAAAAACTTGGTCGAGATACACAGATTGGATATTAAGCAAACAATTTTTGTAGTTTTTTATTTTTGTTATTTAAATGTATGAAACATTTTTGACAAACTCTGGAAGATTTGAATGTGTTCCGTAAATAATATTGATGGAACGAAAAAGGTCGTTCGAAAAACGCGGTGTTTTTTTTTTTAATTTAGAATATATTATTTTTGTACTATGTTCTCAAAGATATTCAAACCAGCAATCCAAAATAGCGTAGTATCCACTGCTTGTTGACATCTCCAACATGTTCTGAGGTGGATTTCCCTAACTTTAATGGGCAGAGGAGAGGAGATGCAGAAAAATGATATTAAATTAGCTAAGTTTTTTTTAATTCCGCGCGGACGGAGTCACGGGCGATAGCTAGTACAGAATAAAGTTTACTATAATTCGCGCAAATCGTAGTAACATTTAAGATGTGTAGATAGTAAAATATGCATTTGTTTCAGCTGGCCAGATCTAATCAGAGCCAAGTGGTACTGACGCGGGTGAGTTTCGGTCTCTCCGGCAACTTCAGCTGCGAGGTGACAGCTGATGCACCATCTTTTGCTACGTCTATTGTTTCAAACAATATGGAAGTTGTCGGTAAGTTTATATTGAATTATTTGATTTGATTTTTCTAATCAGTCTAAGCTTCGTAAACAAGGAAACGTAAATCTTCATTTATCTGATCGAGACTTCGAATCCCATTGTTCTTTTGTCCTAAACCATATCCTAACAAGCCTACAGTTTACTTGGATAGTGCAAGAAATATTAGTAAAAGAATAAAAACTGCAGGTCCTGGGTTCGATCCGATTTCTGATTTTCATATGTACATTTATCCGACGTTCTTACATTGAAGGAAAACATCGTGATGCCACCTGCACATATCTGAGAAGAAATTCAAAGATATGTGTGAAGTCAACCAACCTGCACTGCGCCAGCGTGGTTGACTATGGCCTTGTTACCCTTAACTTAGGGTTGGCTCCGATCCCCTCGGTGGGGACGTATAGTGAGCTGATGATGATGATGAATTAAAATCTGCTAATATTAAACAAAACAACGACTACACTTATTTTTGAAGAGTGAAGTGTCATTAATTATTGCTTCTCTGTAGTGTTATAGAGGTGTAGTACATATAATTTGTCGGCTTTGACCTTACAACTTTACAAAAAAGATACAGAGGCAAATATTTTAGTTTGTATTGTGGCAATAGAAACTAACTACATTTTGACTGTTAATACACTCACATTTAAAGTACAGATATTCTAGTCATAACATTAAAAATATGAATAACAATGAACATTAAAAGTTGCAGATAAATGTTTGTTTTAGCATAGCTAAGTATAAAAACATCTGTCTCAGGCCAACTTGTTCAGGCTCGTTCGCGAACAGTGTCAAGTAGTACAATGACCTGCTATTACGAGGTGCAAACCCATGTTTACTTGAACAACTTAAATGTTACATTTTTTTAGTATTTTTTACTACGACTTTCAAACTGTCTATTACGTCAAGAGTTAAATACTTAACTTTCGTTTAGAAATAATAGATGTGTATTCGATTCTACATCGATATGTAAACGACGTGATGCTGCACTTAACTGCGAAAGAATTAAAATATATGGATGAAGTCAACCCGCACTGAGAGAGCGGTTGACTATGGCCTAGTCACCCCTGACAGAGTAGGCTTGGAACCCCTCAATGGGGACGTATAGTAAGCTGATTTGATGATTATATTATCATATTTAGTGGCCACAAATTACAAAAAAAATCTGATTATGCGATATCAGACACCTACTTTCATCTGTTCTAATATGTGTACAATTTAATCATTATTTTATACCATGAATTTTTATATTAACAAATTAATAATATTTTTCTAATTGTAAACAGTATTACCGCCGTCGTCCCCGGTAATCCACACGAGTCAACACTACTACATGCCAGGAGACATCTTACGCGCCAACTGCACTTCAGGTCCGAGCCGCCCGCCCTCCGAATTGACATTTTACATCAATGATATACCGGTAAGTTCAACGTATTTCTTCTAAAATATACTAGCTGTTGCCCGCGACTCCGTCCGCGTAAATAAATATAAAAAAAAACTTAATTAGTGTAGCCCTTAACCCTTCCATTCATCGACATCACATCCATCTAAACATTCGCATTTATAATATTAGTAAGTTAAATAAAAAGCAGCTCTATCCAAGCATTAATTCGAAAAAAAATGAATAAACCAATTTTCAGCCATATCGGTAAAGCCGTTATTAAGTTATAAATAGTGTAACTAATACTTTCTTTTATATATATAGATTAGTAATTTTTATTGTAATATTTTCTAATTTTAAATTAAAAATCTGACGCTATTCTATTCTAAAAACGGAGGAGTGTCTGTGTTATTTATGTAAACAGGAGAGCATTTCAAATTCACAAAAAATATAACAGTTAAAATGACGCTCGCAATTTTAATTCCAGTTGCATGGTTTGAAATACCGCAGACATGCTTATATAAATTCCACATACGTGCAATTTTATACGGAATATAAAACCGCAAATGTTCACGTAAATTCCAGGAATCGGAATTGATCTTGAGCCATTATAAGTTTTCAAATGTATATTTTTAGAATTATTTTCTTTAGTTTTTATTCTACTTTTACTTTTTATGCAGATAAACTGGATTCAGATATCTAATATATATGAAAGTAGCTTTTGCCTGCGATCTTGTTTGCATTAAATAAAATAAAAACAGTAAGCAGCGTATGTGTTTTTCTAGACTATGTTCTACATCTATGCCAAATTTCATACAGATCCTTTGAGCTGTTCTGGAGATACAAAATAACAAACATCTATCTATCCATCTAAACATTAGCAGTTATAATATTTATAAGTATATTGTGACTTTAATAAAATCTTCAGGGATATAAATATGAGTAACCTAATCACAATACAGGCAGTATCTTTTTTAAAACTATTGATGTTAAAAAAGAACATCCAGACGAATTGAATCTCCTTCATTTTGAAGTCGGCTAAAAAAAAGATAATATTAATTTGCAAATACCTTTACTTAGTTGTAAGGTAAATTATACACATTTATATATTTATATATATATATTTATAATAAACATTTGATATTTCCGTGTACTAAATTCCGTAAGAAAATTGTTGTTCATTTTATAAACTCGTAGAAAATTGACTATAACATTGTTGAAGGAACTATAAAAGCAATTTGTATTAAAATCGATGCTCTTTTGAAGCAAGAACTTACCCAATTACAAGAGAAATTTAAGCTTCTTTCGGATACTTATTCACTTACAACTTAACGTCAACATTTAATTTATATTTTATTTACACAAATTGAATTATAAAAAGTCGCTTTTAGTTTAAAAACTGTTTATGAGTTAGCATAATTTCAAAATATACAAATTTTGAACAATAACATCATTAGATTTTACTAATAATATAAATGCGAATGTTTAGATGGATGGATGGATGTTTGTTTGAAGGTATCTTGAACAGCTGAATGGATTCCGCCGAAATTTGACAACATAGTCTGAAACAACTCATAGGCTAAATAAGGTTTTTTCAGTTCAGTGCGGACGGTGTCGCGGGCAACAGCTATCTTTACTAAATATAAGCTAAAGTTTGCCCTTAGAGAACTTTAAATTAGCTGTATTAAAAGCAATTACAAAGCGAATCCAATATGCATTAGATTATTAATTTAAAATTCAACTCACAAGAGGAACGGATAATTCTCCCAAAAATTAAGTACCGCTCAACATAACTATACATACTCGTATAAATTCACTAACTCTATCCCGAAGCATCGCTAATATTTCTGATTTTTATTACTGAACATTTTTGTTATTATAATTTACATTTAATTTTTTTTTATATCATAAGGTGGCAAACGAGCGAGCGGACACCTGAAATCGCTGAAGTAGCGAAGTGACCGTTGCCCATAGACACATGCAATTGCATATGCGTTGCCTTCCTTTAATCGACGGAGGAGAGGATGCACAGAAAGAAAATATTTTCCCTTTCCATGCACCCTCTCATCCGGAAAGTCCACTTCCACTTCCCATCCTTTAATTATAAGAAAAAGAGCGGGAAGAGAAAGAGGACTAAATTAGGCCTCCGGGACGCACACTCATCAGACGAAACGCGGAATTGCTTTCACTTGACGCCTGTCTTCTGTGTGGTCGTGGTATTTCACCGGGCGAGCCTGGCCGATTCTGTTAAAATTAGTAATTAACATATGTATCACTTGATATCATCGTGGTTTTCTAAGAGCAATCCCTGTTCTATTAAATATAAAAGGCAGATATGACGAGATGTTTAATTTTAGTCTTAGAAATCAACGCTAACAGTTATACAGTCCGCAGCAGTATTAGCTACTGCACGAACGATCCACGTCCAGTACAATACCACAACCACACAGAAGACAGGCGTGAAGTGGAAGTAATTCCACGTCTAATGATTGTGAATGCCGAATACCAACTTAAGTAACTTCCCTTTCTTTTCATTACTAATAAGGTAAAGATTGGAAGGTGAATTACGTCCCTTGTCCTATTCCTATGCGTTTGGAATAGGATACGAAAATTGTGATAAAATATATTCTCCTTTTCAAGTTATGTTAAAATTCATACTGTAACATGTTTAAAATTTCTTTTAACATGATTTTTCGCATATAGAAAGTTTAATTATTCTAATTCGGTACTCCCCTAAATCGCCTGAGGCGAGCCGACCATTATACGGGTAACCCGCAAAATGGCAGACGTATATGTAACAAACTGCTTGCCTTGTATAAAGCCTGAAGCCACTTGCTAAAATTCATTGAAGTAAAACAAATTATTTTAGCACTCGTGTCGTATTTAAACGTATGAAGAGCGTTGAATTAGTCCTTATTTAAAATTACCTACGTCTGTGTTTCGTGGTTTATGTTTATATAACTTTGTAAATAATGTCGATTCAAGTAGTTTATTTATCTAACTTACCGTGGATTTCTGAGACACTAATTTAAAACATATTGTTATCTCTGTTTTGTCAAAAATAAGACAGGGATTACGATGTGTTTTATATTTTGATCTCGGAAACCCACAGTTATTGTGTTGTTTTGGAAGAAAACATTATCAAGGTTAACTATTTCGAATATAATCTAAATCTGGTTTAGTATTAGAATACAGTAAACATTCAAATCTAAAATTATTTCATACAAAAAATAAATTACGCGAGGATTCTAGAAACACACAATTTTACGTAAACATAAAATTTAATATGATTTAAAAATACGTAATTAAAATAAGCCGTAGTGCCATTCGTTCTGGTTTATTTAAGCGCGTAAAATAAAAACATAAGCCCTCATTCAGTTCATTGCTGGTTAAAAACATTTATTTTACGATAACATACACATTCTTAATTATTTAAAAATACCTTTTTTAATGCTAATTTTTAAAACAACTAATCTTTATCTTTTCTGGAATTTATACATCTGTGTTCTGTCGCAATATACTAACAACATAAAAATTTAATTGTAGAAAAATAACTAAAAAGTATCGTTGATTAATTTTTCCTTTTCAAAATGTTTAATAATTTTACTCCATACTTTAGCGATCGTTCTATTTTAGTATCCCATATAAAAAAAAATCTTCTGATTTTAAGCACAGATTGCTTTGTTCGGGCGTAAATCAACAATTGTATACAATTTCGTGTCGATTACTTTAAAATAAGTAAGGGGCCTAAAAAGTTCAGGTAATAGAAAAAAAAATCTTCTATAATAGTAATCTTATTATCTTATTCCTTTTTAATATTATAAAAGCGAAAGATTAGATGGATGTTTGTTTGAAGGTTACCTTCAGAACGGCTGTACTGATCTCGATGAAATTTAGTATACATATTTTAATTCCGCGCAGACGGAGTGGCATGCAATAGCTAGTGAAATATTGAAACGAGATATGATTATGTTAACATATAATCTTAATAAAAACTCAATTACAGACATAGTAACATATCACATCCAGTGTTAGCGATCTCGCATTTTTTTTTGTAAACATTACACACTCCGCTGACTTTATGCTCGTGAAAGTTTTATTATGATTGAAATTTCTTCTTGTACCGTATGAGATTGTTTTGCTGGAAATATTATACGTTGTATTCGGCACGGAATTTCTTGTCAACACTTTTTGTAGCTGAATTTGTGTTAAAGTTATGACTTTCGTTGTCCTTGATATATTACTCTATGTGCCACGGACCTTGTTTACATATGGTAGGGTTTCTATTTCTTACTATAATATAAATGCGAATATTTAGATAAATAGATGGATGGATGGATGTTATAAAGTATCTTAGTGCTTGGCCTCTGAGCCACAGACGCTCATTTTTAAGAATCTATTATCTATAAATTTATAATTTTTAAGAAGAACCTAAACTTAGTTATAAAGGTACTTTCACACGATACAATTACAACTAATTATACTGTACTTACTTTAACTAAAATGTGTATAATTTGTCAGGTGTCTCCTGGGATGTACAACGTGCAACCGGCGGCAGAAGGACTGTTTCGTTCAGAACAATACGTCCAAGTACAATTATGGCCTGCTCATTATGAACGCGGTGCTCCGATACTCCGCTGCGAGGCCAAGCTCGGGGAGCTTTACAGGGATAATTCCGCTGTCGCCCTCTATTCAGCGAACAGCGATCCTAAAATTGAACGAGGTAAGCTCTCGACGAATAAACTTAGTGAATAGTTAAGAGGGAAGGTGCATAATTGAATCTCCAGTTTTCAAAGAAATCTTAGGCGATTTGTTTGCCCCCTACTACTACTAAAAAAAATCTTGTGCAGGTCCAAATAGTTATGAATTGAACTATTATTATTGACCTTTGTGTAATGTAACTAAATCTTAGTTGAGTTCGGGAAAAGTATTTCATGGAAAAGGTTATGACGAACTGCAAATTAATGAAGCTAAAAATTGGAGAGTATCGAAAAAGTTACAAAGTGGCAAAATTGATAAAAACAAAAAAAAAAATTTGTTAATAAAAAAAAAACAATAACAAATAATGTCAAAATTACCCACGTTAATACATCTATTCGTCAGAATTGTAGTGAATCAGAACCTTTAATATTCCAAGCTGATGAACATAATTGCGATATCAAATAAAGATGACGTCATAGAAAATGATACGCCAGCCAAATACCCTTATCTCTAATACAATGGGAGCATAAGCGTTAAAAGAGAGCTTGCTCGGGACAATGTAGCATATGCGAGAGGAAACTGAGATAATGAGATCCTTTGACTTTTAAGAGACAGGACTTGTTAAGCGCGCGCACGTTCATTAAATAGAAATGAACAACACGTTTTAAGCTTGCTTGTGTGCTCGTTTTGTGTGTGTAATTTTGGTTGTTTTTAATTTTACATGTCATATTAATATGCACATGTATGATTGTCATATTTATCACGGTCCTGGGAAAAGTGGTAGAATTTATTTAATTCAACGGTGGTGCTTTTCTTAGTCCGTTTCTCTATAGTCAAAGATGAGATCACTACCAAAGAGGTCATTCAGGCTCAGTAAATTATTGCTCGCCGGCTCCCCGGCTCATTGGCGGAGACAATTTCCTACGATGGCAACACTGAACCGTTGTTCAGTCATAATAAATTTAGAATCGACGCGTGTCTGAATACAGCTTAACACAGTGTGGTTTTTAGTTGAATGCAAGATTGTATGTTGCTAATACTTTGTGGCTTTGAATACTAGAGTTTGTTTTATTATTTAATATAATTTAGATTGAGTATTAGTTTAGGTATTACTTCTATCTTTGTTCGTTTTTTAAAAAAATAATTAAAAAATGTTTGCAAATTAGGAAGCCTTATATTTTAGTAATTTGTACCCATCATCGGATATATTCCTTTTCAATAATATACACTGAATATTTAAAAATCTAAAATTCATCGCAATTCTGTATTTGTATGAGAGAACAGAAACAATTTTGTTACTATTCTCGGAAAAGACACGGACGTGGTAACGGGTTTTCGGCAAATTTACTTCAATGTTGCCATAAGGATGTTATAAATTTACCAGTGCGGTTATTATTGGTGTTAACCAATCATTAGTGTAAAGGATTGAATCATTAACATTTTGTAGAAATGCACCTTTTACACAAAGTTTATTTTAAATTTATTTTATGAAAAAGCAAACTAAACATTTGTAAACTATCATTTTACTTGCGTTATTGCACTATGACTGTTTTTTGTACAAAGTCATATTACAAATTGGCGGTTTACATTAACAAAACAAAATTGAGAAGTTAACAGTGGTAGAGCCCGCTTTAAAATCTTCGCACGAATTGTCCCGGCTCGCCCCGTGAAATAACACGACCACACAGAAGACAGGCGTCAAGTGGAAGCAATTCCGGGTTTCGTCTGATGAGTGCGTCCCGGAGGCTTAATTTAGTTATCTTTCCCTTCCCACCCTTTTTCTTATAAGGAAAGTATGGGAAGTGGAAGTGGGCTTTCCGAATGAGACGATACATGGAAATGGAAGATATTTTCTTTCTATGCATCCTCTTCTCCGTCGATTAAAGATAGGCAACGCATATACAATTCCGTATGTCTATGGGCAACGGTCACTTCGCTATTTCAGCGATTTCAGGTGGCCGTTCGCTCGTTTGCCACCTTTTAATATAAAAAAAGTTTATCTAATATTTTGCAGCATAAATACACAGAAATGGGTAATTTAAACCAATAAGTAGGATCGTAAACCATACTTCAAATACAAACAATAAAATATGACTCGAATGCAATGCGAACGACCAATTCACTATTGTTAAATAACAATTTGCTAGTAATATATTTTAAAATATTCCTCAGAATGGCTTTTTCTTTTCAGTTACGTCGCCAGGTTCCGCGGCCAAGCTGCAAACGTGCCAAGTCCTGTTACTGCTGCATATTGTCGTATGGGCAAACAATACATAGACTACGATTATCCATAAAATTGTGTAATAATATAGTTTAATTATTAGGTGTATTAAAATCAGATCGATAAGGTAAATGTGAATTTGAATTTATAGTTAATTGTACCTAAAGACGAGCTGAAAATATACCAAAGAATGTAAAGACTAAGATTATTGTTGATTTAATACAAATTATACGTCGAAATTATTTCGTTTTATTTAATTAATCCTTTAATTACACACCTTACTTACTATTACATATTACACTATGGTCGAAATAAGTAATTGAATCGGACTATACACTGAATTCCTTTCAAGTAAATTCTATGTCTGATATTTACTTTTAATCTTAGATGGAAGTATCCAGAACGGTTGAATGGATCTCGATTAAATTTGGCATACATATAGAATATTATCTAGAAGAACAAATAGGCTACTATGTTTTTTTTTAACTCAACCCGGGCGGAGTTGCAGACGACTAGCTGACTATGATTATAATTTACATGAATGAAACCTTATATAAACTCTTTTATTTACCATGTAAAACCTTCATGTACATTCTAAAAGAAAACAAAATAAAAAATTTACATGTCTTCGTTAAAATTTTAAGCTTTTTTTTGTATATTCTGTTGAACAACTAAAAGGAAGTGACATCGAATAAAATTTAGAGTGGTGGCTTTGTTTGACAAAACAATACGTGTGCTGTACACAGGGCGACACAGGATGAAATGTAATTAAAAAGTTCATTCACGGCCTCCGCACGGATGGACTTTATTGCGACCGCGTCAAACGTTTGACTGTGTGTATAGACAAATAATTAAATACGTCACCCATTTAGAATCGAATATCGAACGGTAAACACCATAAGAGCTATAATATAGCAAGTATGTATGTTATTATGACCAATTTTCGACCTAAATGCATTGTAATTGGAGAGTCAAATAACATTTCAATCAAATGGGTAGGAAATAAAAGTCTCTCAACTGTACACTCGGGGCATCTGACGGTGTTCCATCTTTAGCGACATTCGTTTGAACATTTCGTGAACATTGAGACGACGACAAGGAGTCAAGGAGTAAGACGGATCGGAGGTAGTAACGATGCTAGGAAGATGGCAATTTTTCTCAAAGTGGTACACCGTGAAGGGCTCTGACTGTACATGCACATACAACATTACTGCGTCAAAGCAGATGAATGAGTATATTTTATTATTTGATTATCTAAAAAGCTCTAAATTGTAATCAATAAACCAAATTCAGTAAGCAAATAGTATATTATGATGGAGAATATCTATAAAATTTTTGTTTCTACAAGATAATGAAAATAGATATTAATTTTTAGTATGATTATTTCATGAAATATACAAAAAATATTCTTTCCACACTCGTTATTGGATAAATAATAAGTAGTAAACTTCAATATCATTAATTTAAAGCTCGAAAATTGATATCTTGCTAACGATTCTTCGAAATACAAATATTTTCAATATTGAAAGTCGTTATGGAGTAATTATTATATTTCAAGGTTGCATTCGTTAGTTCTTAATACTTTAATACCACAGGGAATAATGGATTTGGTATTTCATGCCAAGTTAAATTGAACGTGCAATTGAATATTTTGAACCATTTACTGCGTCTTTGCACGTTTTTTTTTATAACAGAAGGGGGCAAACGAGCAGCGGGAACAACGACGCCCATGGACAGTTATACCAGAGGAACCGCAGATGCGTTGCCGGCCTTTGAGATGATGATACGCTCGCTTCTTGAAGGACCCTAAGTCGTCATCATCATCATCATCAGCTCACTATACGTCCCCACCGAGGGGCTAGGAGCCTACCCTAAGTTAAGGGTGATTAGGCTATAGTCAACCACGCTGGCCCAGTGCGGATTGGTTGACTTCAGACATATCTTTGAATTTCTTCTCAGACATGTGCAGGTTGCATCACGATGTTTTCCTTCCCGTAAGAACGTCGGATAAATGTACATATGTAAATCGAAAATCGAAAAACATATTGGTACATGGCGGGATTCGAACCCAGGACCTGCAGATTGCAAGTCAAGTGCTTGACCACTGAGCCACCGACGATCGGTCGCACCCTAAGTCATACCGCCGAGGATAGACCATTCCACAACGCTTGTGTGTGTTAGGCTACATAGTTAAAGGTATTGTTATTTTAAGCATAAATAATTAATTTAAAAATATAAAATGAGATCATTAAAATCGTACTACTTTTTGTACTATTTTAGCTATTCCAATCTCAAAACACCCATACAAAATAAACTTAAATCGAGGTCGAATATCTTAGTAATATAAATGCGAATGTTTGCATGGATGGATGTTTGTTTGAAGGTATCTCCGGCTCAACGGATTTTGATATAATTTAGCATACGTGTAAATCATAGTCTGGAAGAACAAATTCCGCGCGGACGGAGTCACGCGTGACTTTGTATTTTTATAAAACCCATTACAGATAGATACTGCAAACCCAACAAAATCTAGACATTACTTTCAGCTTAAAAGTCAAAGAATTAAAGCAGTACTTGAACTATATAAGAAGTAAACTATTGGTATTCAATGTAAGTAGAACTATGTTTACACAAACCGAGACCGAAGTCCGCCTTTAAAGTTGAATTAAAAACTTGCAACTGTTTTTGTCGGACTCAGCTATTTAGAAGTTGGGTTACTCTGAACAGTTCCCTTATTGGAAACACGTCAAACGTTCGGCGCCGCGTTTTTCTACTTGTTTTCTTTATTCCATCTCAACTTGATAAGTTTGGAAGACGCTATTGATGGCCAGTCTGTAATGTTTTTATGATTCTGTTTGGAATTGCTTTTGATAAATTAAACTGTATTGTTAGAATGTATGATAGTATTCTTAAGGTTTTCGAATTTTACTAATACTGATAATTAATCCACAAAGCGACATTAGACGTTTTTCTGTGGGATCACGTTTGTCTGACTCTCTCGTATGTTGTGTTTTATCTATCTATCCATTGTATTATTTATCTACCTATAATATAAATAGGAGATTATTTTTAAATGTTGTCATGGATATTGATAATTCTACAATTACAAAGCGAAAATATTGGTGCTTAATTAATGTATTTCTTTAGTAAATTTTAAGATAAAATAAGATCAGTAAGGTTTAAATCACGTTGATAATCCGATAGACCTGATCGGATTACGTTTATTCCAATATTGAAAGAGCTTCAGTTTCAGTTCATCATTTCAAAAGTTTTTGTTTACAAGTGTATCTTATTTATTCATTTCTATTAGGGTCTTGCGTGCCTATTTTATAATTATATAGTCATTGACGACGTAATCATATCGCTCATTTACTATATAAATATCATTATATAGTAAATGAGCGGCGGTGGTTCAGTGGTCAAGCACTTGACTTGCAATCTACAGGTCCTGGGTTCGAATCCCGCCATGTACCAATGTGTTTTTCCATTTCCTATTTACATATGTACATTTATCCGACGTTCTTACGGCGAAGGAAAACATCGTGATACTGCACATATCTGAGAAGTAATCCAAAGATATGTGTGAAGTCAACCAACCCGTAATTGGCCAGCGTGGTTGACTATGGCCTAATCACCCTTAACTTAGGGTAGGCTCCGAGCCCCTCGGTGGGGACATATAGTGAGCTGGTGATGATGACGGCGTAATCCATGTAGTAATGGTATTTGCATTGACTCAAGACTTGTTATGCAATTAATTAGCTTCCTTAAGCTTAATAATTTACTTATATTTGTATCGAGTTAAAATACATAATTGTTTTAATCATCCGTAAATTAATCTTGATCTGTTTTATGATTTTAGATTATATTGTTGAATCGTTACTAAATGTTTTACTATTTTAATACGACAACTGAACGAACGTCCGGTTCCGTTGGATTGGTCAATAGAGTGAACGTATAAATGTGAAAACAACCATGGAGACGGATTCATTCGTTGAGTAGTCGTCAACTAAAAGGCACGGCAAAGGCAAGGCATAAGTGTCGGGAATTAATGTAATTATTTTAAAAACGGATCGATGTTATGAAGTGAGTAAATAAATGATTGCAAGGAATATTGTTGCTTGAACTTTTGGTCATCCTCAAAATTTGTAATTACTTTGAAAAAACCTGAAAAAACTAATTTGTATGAATGCTTCCCGTGAAAGCCCAAGGTAAGGTGGTATGTTTTATAGTATAAGGTGACAAACGAGGAAGCAACATGAAAATTCGCCGAAATAGCGATAAGACTACTGACTACTGACTGAGACTAAGAAATTGACAGAGGGAGCACACAGAAAGAGGATACCTATGTCCGCTTTTGATGCCAAATCAACCTACCATTCCGATCACTTACCAAGAAAATTTGAAGAAAAGGGGACCAAAATAATGCATCCGAAACGTTAAGCGTGAGGTAAATACTTTTTCTTTTAATTACAGAAAAAGAAAATAATTATAGAAGAATTTCATGTAAACAACCATCCAAATCGATCGTAAAGGCTTTATGAGTGGACAGGTTCGGCCATTTAGTACGTTAATTGCTTGTTTTCAGCCGTGAAATTAAATAAGTTAATCGTAATTTTTTTTTCATTCAAAATTTCATCGAACGCTATTGAATATTCACTTTAATTGCTTCAAAAGGATCTTTTTATGAAAATTATTCGTTAAAAATAAAATCTCATGGAAATCCTACACGTGTTCTTGAAGGGTTTGTTTACGTTAATATTTTTTGACCGTTGAAAAGATAAGGTAAGGTGAACTAAGTCAACACTGAAAACATAATATTCTTAAAGAACCGCTTTCAAAATCAACTGATGTTCTTTTGTTTATGAAGTTCGTATCACTCGTATTAAACTACTGGCTGTTACTAGCGACACCCTATACGTGGAATTAAAAAGAAAACTAAATTAGTAGCCTATTGGTTCTTCCAGATTATGTTCCACGTCTATGTCAAATTTCAGCGAGATCGGTTTAGTCGTTCTGGGTTTATCGTGTAACAAACATCTATCTATTTATACATTCGAATTTATAATTTAGCCTAACCACTGAGTTACATCACTAGTGTGGCAATTCAATCAATGCACCGACTTTCAACTAGTGTTCTCGTAAAAGCGTATTACGATCCATTGAAGACCATAAATGGCCGTTTAGTGTGGCTAAATGTTTTATTGGTACAGATAAACTTAAAGTCGTTCGGT